ACTCACAGACGCAATGTGCTGCATAAAATAGCCTTTGACCTTTGCCCCCCCCCCCCCCCCTTCCACAAACCCTACCGTTCTCCCTCGTTACCTGTTTGTTTGATGCGTTTTGCAATGCATATAAATTTTATTTGTTCAACTTTATAATGGCAATGTCGCTGACTTTGCCACTAAACTCTGTTCTCTTCCGTTTGAGCGAGATAAAAAAATAGAGAAAAAAAGGAGAGAAAGACAAAGAGATAGAGAGGGAGATGGAGAGGGAGAGGGAGAGAGCGCTAAAGACATATAGAAAAGTTTGCTGTGCAAAAGTTGATTGTTAGCAAAAAGTTTTCCTTTTGAGGTAACGCATAAATTTGTATTATTTATTGTTGCTTGTTAGAGAGAACCGGAGAGACCCGCTCCAGAGCTCCGTGCTTCCATGTGGCGCAATCTATGAGTTTCTGTGGGTGGGCTTCATCTGCCGGCTGCACATTCCAGATGCTTTTAAAAGCGCTTTGTGGCCTTTGATTTGTGCACTCATAAAACATATGGTTTATAAGCTGCAACATTGCCAGTTAAATATGCCCACAGAACTTTATATATTGCTTTTATACCCTTGAGGCCATATTTGAGGTAGGGTATTTGAAATTCCCGCAAATGGTCGTTGGTTGTGGAGTCATAAATTCTTTAAATATTTACCAAATAAGTTTTTGTCAGTTTAGTTTTCCTTCTATTTGTTTTTTTTAAGGCTAATGGAAAAGAAGGAAATTTTAAATAATTTATGAATATATTTTTATTATAGTTTTATAAGTGAACACCTGTTCAGTTGACTGCGCTTAGTTAATTAACAGCGTCTGTTAAATTGGCTGCGATGTTTAGTTGACAACTTCTGTTAAGTTCAAATTACATTTTATTAGTGAACAGCTGTTAAGTTGACTACGTTTGGTTAATTAACCGCATCTGTAAAGTTGGCTGCATTCGGTTTATTAACAGCGTCTGTTAAGTTGGCTGCGCTTGTTTAGTTGACAGCTCCTGTTAAGTTGGCTGCGCTTAGAGCACATAGAGTACGTAGTACAAAGCGTCTGTTATGATTGATGAGAGAGACTGAGACTAAACTGAGAATCCGAGCTTAGAAGTTCATTTTCTTCCTTTTATTTCCTTATCAGTAAATGTTTAAAAGACTCAAAGATTAATATAGGCTGGTTTTCAGATAAATGATTCGGTTCAGAATCTACTTCTTGGCTAATAACAAATTGCAACTGCTTCAAGTATTTCGTTGTCGAGCACTTTTCCAGCTTTGATTGCTTTTGTTGTTGTTATTGTTGCTGTTATTATTATTGTTGTTGTTGTTGTTGCTGTTGCCCAGCGGGACCCTTTGTACCTCCTACACACACGTCACTTTGTGCCTTTGGCATTTGAAACTTAATTATTGCGCATACGACACGTTCACCCACACACGCACATACATACACACACACACACGCACACTCGCACATTCGCACACACACACACACACACTGCAGGCAGTTGCTTTTATTTATGAACTGTTTCAGCTTCTGCGCAAATTTCCCAAGTGCCTGATTGCCTCAGCCTCAGCGTCGACGTCAGACTTTAAAGAATGGCTGGCTTTTAAATTTTATCAGCTCTCCTCTGAATGTTTAATGCCAAATGGCCAAAGCGCCTCGCAGCGGGCTCCGCTTTCTGCTGCGTCTTTTGGCCATTGTCCTGCTTGCCATCTGATGCCGTCTACCACACACAAGGGATGCATTTGCATTGCGCCGTAATTCAAATCGAGGTTAACTCGCCCGCTGATGACCAGGTGTGAGCAGCAAGGGTCAAAGTTCAGCTCCGTGTTTGCACATCCCTTTCCCCCCTTTCCCTCTTTCCACTCACTCTCGAATGTCGACTGCCAGCAACAGCAGCCTGCCCCTGACAAGCCCTTTGTCAAAGAACTGGCTGCACTTCGTCTCCCCCCCCCCTCTCAGCCATCTCCCTCCTCTCTCCAGCTGCGCTCTTGTGAGTGTTTCACTTGTTTAAATTTAGTTAGGCGTATCTCCTTTATCAACCCTGCCACGTTGCCCCACGTTGCGACTAACGAGCCGCTCAATTTAATCAGCCTTTGTGCCGCATATTGCCAATGATAGAAAGAGAGGGAGAGGCAAAGAGAGGGGGCGGGGCTTGATAGTGCATCCCGATGCTATTCATGATATGTATACCACTTGTGAGTTTTTTCTATGACTTTTATGTGACAGCAGACATCGAAAAATATTCATTTATATTAATATGTATATATATCTATCGATCTAAGCAGATTTTGCTGCATAAATGGAAATAAACTAAAAAGTATTTAGAAACATTTGGGATAATGGGATAGACATAGTATTTATTCTAGATAAAAGAAGACTAAGACTTTGAAATAAGATAAGAGATAACAAATATCCTTAGATTTTATTTCATTTCATTATTATTATTATTATTGCTTCATTCTTCAATATCTTCGGTCTATATGCTCCGATCAACATTACATTTTGAAGTCTCAAGAGACATAAAGTTGGGCATAAACCAAAAATCAGCGTTTACCTTTTTGCAATTTAGTTGGAAAAGCGAGAAGGTCTTCCAAAAGTAGAATAATATCGAATAAGAAAGTAGTTATTTTTTTATGAAGATTAAAACATATTTAATTTGGTGTCTTAAGGGGAAATTAATAGATGGAGAGAACAGAGAGAGATAAGTCCATGATCAACTATATATATGTTTAGTTTATTGTATTGGAAATGATTTCCCCCTTTCTTCATTTCCCGTTTCTTCAACATCATTAATATATCGTGAATAATTGTCCCTTCATATTTTTACCTCGCCATAAACAGTATTTATAAGTTTGTCATTCTTTAATCTAAATGTAAACACAGGCACTTTCTTGATCTCTTGCGCATATGTCGTTCAATTCTTGTAAGTTCCCGATATTATCATCATTTTATGGACATGTTTTATGCACTCGGCAAAGGCCACAAAGCGATTTGTGTCAGCTTAAGAGCGTACACTTGGACGTAGGAGTGGGGGGGGTGGGGGGGGGGGGAGCAGGTTCGCTTTAATCAAATTGAATTGGCCTCAATGCCAGGCAATGGTCAATGGGACTGGGACCATAAAGCAAAGCGCCGCACTCCAAGCCAAACAATTCCATATATTTGCGCATTAACGCCACGTTGTGGCTCGGCTGGCTTGGCGGTGGTGATGGGGGGTGGTTGGAGTGGAGGGGGGTTGGCGGGGAGGTGTAGTACAAACAATGGCGCATTCATAAGCCTCAAGGTTAAACCGCGCTAAAAATCATTGAGCGCCATTGTTTTGGGCTCTTTGCTAAGCCAAATGAAATGGGCATGAAATGAACATATAAAATGCCAAGACGCCAAGATTTATGCCAATGGCTCTTGAGCACCTTGATGTAGGCCCCTCTCCCCACTCCCCCTTCCCCCTCTGATTGCTCCTGTGTAACTAATGAACGGCGGCCGTCTTAAGAATTGAGTCCAAGTCCAAGTCGCATTTGTGGTTTATTTTCAGGCATTTTCTTGGCTTTGGACATTTATTTAGCCATTCGGCTCATTGGCACTCGACCACGTTGAACGCCTCTGTGGTCGAGGCTGCGGCTGCTTCCTCCTACTACTTTGCACGTTTACCAACACTGCTCAGTGCTGTTGCTGCTGCTGCTGCTGTTAGCCCTCTGCCTGCTCATTAATTTCGCTTAACTTCACAAATTGCCAATTGTGCGCATTGGTCAACATTTTTCCTTGTTGTTGTTGCTGTTGTTGTTGTTGTTGTTGTTGCTGTTGTTCTACTTTGAGTTCTCTGCAGCGTCCGACATCGGGCATTGTTCTCTTTGGCTCTGTGGCTCGTATTTATTGCCCGTACTGCCAATTTGTTTTGTTTGCTGGCATTGTTATAAAAACCACTCACCAGCCAAGGGTATCATGACTTTGTGATAGCTTTTGGCAGATGTTAGATGTAAATTTAAGCTGATGTGCGATATTTGCTTATAATTCGCAACTGGTTAAAGCATATCATGGAAGGTCACCTAAATAGCCTCCCAGCCTAAAATCTATATAAACTCTTCAGACATTTGCACCAGCAAGAGGTATCATGACTTTTTGATAGGTTTTGTCATATTTTAGATGCTAATTTTTGCTAATAATTCTCAACTAATTAAAGCATATCATGCCGACTGTCTTTGTTCAATATATCTGCTTTTACTAAAAGGATTCTGTATTCAATATTTGTCGCACTATTTGCCTATAATTCTCAACAGGTTTAAGTATATCATGAAAGGGTCCTTCCCAGTAAAATCTTTTTAAATTCTTCAGGTACATTTGTAATTTGTTCCTTACTGAAAGGGAAGTGTATACAATATTTATTGCACAATTTGCGCTTTTTGCCTATAATTCTCAACAGGTTTAAGTATATCATGAAAGGGGCCTTCCCAGTATAATCTCTTTAAATTCTTCAGGCATTTGTAATTATTTTGCTCAATATTTCTGCTCTAACTGAAAGGAAAGAGTATACAATATTTGTTGCACTGCACAAAGCTGTAACTAACTTATGGCCATTGTTGCTGCAATTGTCGTAACTGTGAAAACACATGAATTCTTAGTTTATGAAGTTCTGCAGCAATTGACCGCCTCCTGCCAGCCCCCTTTGCCCCCTTTGCCTCCGGCTGTGAGCAGACAGTTGATGTTTGTCTGGCACGTTACCTGAATCTCTGCCAGGGCCCACACACAGTCGCCCCTCGGGTTTGGTTGTACAATAAATATTGTGACAAATTGGCATCACACGGCACAAATGGGCCTTTTATTTAGTGACGACTTTTATGTGGGCTGCACATGGCGTATGCGCAATGCGGCGGCGAGCAGGGGTCACTTTTGAGCCATGTTCCAGCTGGCCGCAGTTTTTCGCTCCAACGCAATTAATTAAGTTTGGCAACTGTTTTTTGGCTGGCATTAATCAAATTTTTGCCTGTTCTCACACACACACAGGATGCGGACAACAATTACTCACGTAATCACATTGCCGGAACCCTGACGGCCCACAAGCAAAAGAAGCTGGGCACGCCCGAGGCTGTGCTCAACACACAGCGCCAGCTGGCCGAGGACAAGGGTGAGTAAGGGGAGCAAGGGGGGAACTATTGAAGCACCTTAACCACCATTTGAACTGCCTTTGCAGCCAAGGCAAAGGCACACATGGACGAGGTGAGAGACGAGAATGTGTGCCGCGTGCCGCAGCGACGTTGCCTGCGCGTCGAGCGGGAGACCTCGAAGAGCTACTCGCCGCACTGCACCAGCGTCTATCGCTGTGCCGAGGACAGCGGCTGCTGTCCCCAGCGCAACCAGATCTGTGCCCCGAAATTCACCCAGAAATTCGAGAAGCATTTCAATGTAAGTACTGTAATGTAAGCTGAACAAGCTGCTAGCTTTGCCAGGTTTTTAGCAGAAATTTTACTCAAAAGCCAAAGCTAGCAGAGTTGGCACACATTTTTATGCGTAGGACAAGGCCAATTAGTACTGTTGAAATTATTTAATAATATAACTAGTTAAATGTGTCCGAATTTAGACAAACATTAAGTTGGCAATGCTAGCTACTTAGCTGAAATCTAAATTTAATCCCTTTGTAAGCTGATCTATGCATAAAATACATACTAATTATATAAATTTCTTGGCGCTTATGATTGCTTAACATACTCCGATTAGTTGTTATCGATATTTCGATATATTCGTGGGCATTTCGGAAGCCAAAAAGAGAAAAAAGTTAGCAAAGCTAGCAAGTTAGATATCTTAGTCTAAGAGCTTCTCATTTTATAGATTACACTTAAATTAGTCAAATTCTTTGGCCCAAAAGCAATTAGACAGAAGTGCTATCGATATATCGATATGTATTTATCTCGATGTGTAAGTGTTGCCACATTGCTGAAAAGTTTAATTCAAATGTGGAGCAAACATACTTGTCAAGCTGTTCTTTAAATGTTTTTTGTTAAAATATAACGTATGGCAGTCTTGATCGATATATCGATATATATATATATATATACATATCATCATGTGTAAGTGTTGCCATACTGCAAAAAGTTGCAATTCAAATGTGAAACAAAAACATTTTTCAATCTTCTCTAAGTATATAATCATTTAAAGATTTAAAGATCAAAACCTGAATTATTGCGCTTTTGATCGATATATCGATAGGCGACTATTTGATTTAGTTGGTGTTGCCACACTGCAAAAAACTTGAATTCAAATGTGGAATAAGCCCATTTTCACAAACTTCTAAATGCATAAAATCATTTAAATATTTTAAGGTCAAAACCTAACGCATCGATTTATCGATAGGCGCCCATTTAATTTACATGGCATTGCCAGACTGCAAAAAGTTGCAATTCAAATGTGAAACAAACACAATTTTCAAGCTTCTAAAAACTTAAAATCATATAAATATTTTAAGCTCAAAACCTAACGTTTGCCAGTTTTGATCGATCTATCGATAGGCGCCCATTTTATTTACCTGGCGTTGCCAGACTGCAAAAAAAAGCAATTTATTTAATCGCAGCTTTGCCACATTAAACGCTTGCTCTTAATTACTTGGATATGTGCCACAAATTGCATATCCGCTCACTTAGCGCTGCCTTGTTGCTAAATTGGTAAATTGGTAATTAAAAAATGTTAATCATGCTCTCGGAGCGTTGCCAGCGGGCACAATGATTCGGGCACACACCTTGGAAAAAATGAATATATAAATACATAAACAAAACTTCAGCAGCCGGGCATAATTACATTCTCGATTTCAACATATTGAATGCTCGTTACAAAGCAGCAAAAGTAACAAAGACAACAACAATTTCATGTGGCATAAATCAACAACAAATTGAATTATCATTGCGTCATTAAAAACTCATTTCGAAGCGCAAACATTAAAAAAAATTATATATATAAATTTGAGTAAAATGTATAAAAGAAAAGGTGAAACGATATAATTATGTTGCAACATGGCGCCCTCAAGCATGACCTGCGCCCCCAACGAGGCAGCGACAGCGACAACAATCAGAGCAATTGCAACAACAAGCACGTATGAGAGAGAGAGAGGGAGAGAGAGAGAGAGAGAGAGAGAGAGAGAGGGAGAGAGGCAAATAGAAGTCGCACAATGTGAGGCAGCGACTCTTGACAAATGGTTACAACTTTTGGGGCATGCACGACTACATACACATATAGAGACATCCATGTGTGTATACATATATACACATATAGAGACATACATATGTATGTATGTGTGTGTGTATCTGTCAATAAAAGTTAGGGCCTGGGCTTTATATTAATAAAGCTCCTCGACTTGGTTGTTGTTGCTGCTGCTGTAGCCGAGCGCAACGATAGGAAATTAAAAATATATAATAAAAGTGAACATTCAATAAAAAAGGGCGAGATACAATAAAGAATAAAGAGAGCGAAAATATAATGAAAGATCATTCATGAATAACATATTCTATTCATGTAGTATTTGCACCCACGCCTCGGTTAATAGCCCCGGGCACATTGTTAGCCAGCATCTCGGTTAGCCACAAAACCAAATCCAGCCTAACGACTTTTCATTAAAAACAAATTAGGCTGCTCTAGTCGGGAGTCTCCGACTATAAGATACCCTGCGAAACTAGCCCAACCTAACGACTTTTCATTACAAACAAATTAAGTGCTTTAGCCGGGCCTGACCAACAAGGAGATACCCTACAAAACAAAAGCAATCTAACCTTTTCAGTGAGAACAAATTAGAGTTCTCTAGTCGGGCTCTTTCGACTGGTAGATACCCTGCAAAAGCAACGCAGACTAACAACTTTCTATTAAAAATAAGTAAGAAGTGCTCTAATCGGGCCTGTCTGACTGGGAGATACCCTGCACACAGCGCCAAGCTGCCATTGTAAGCATTCCAGCTGTCTTCTATAGATGCATACACAAAAAAACACACACACACATACGCAGCCTATGCAGCAGCTGTGCTTCTTCTACTTTAAGCCCCTCCATGAATGGAAAATGCATTCTTGCTTAACTTCGGTGTATATATATGCTTTATTCATTAATACATCATGCGATAAGCTATATGTCAAGTTAAATGCATCTAGCTCTTATAGTTCAGGTTTAAAAATACTATATAGATATATATATACATTCCTATATATATGTATATTCCTATATATATACATATTCCCTATATATTCATATATGTATAACGAACAAACTGAATAATTGAGTTTAGCCAACTTTCGGCTGAGTGCATGTTAACCAAGTTAATTCCCAGCTGAGCCCTCTGTGAAAAACCAAATTAGTCGAGTTGTGGACCTAGCTGCATGCACCTGACTAACGCCCCCCTCTCCCCTCCCCACCCCTTCCCCACGCGCAGTACAGACAGCTGTCAATGTGCTCAGCTGAGAGTGTTGAACAATTTGGTAAAATCTGCAACTGTCGTCGGGCATTTGGCATAAAGTTGGCAACGAAAAGTTGTCCGGGACTCTGGCTGCATTCGCCTGGCCGTCTGGCCGTCTGGCTGCTGCCAATAACTGTTCATAACACGCACGCAACTTGCCAACTGGGCATTAGGGAGCTGCCACGCCCACTGACTCAAAACGCCCACCAGCGGTTTACGTGCAATGGCAATTTGCATTTGTGGTGCACCTGCTGAGACTCGACTGTGGCAGCTGTGGCAAGTGGAAACCAACCTCCCCCCCCCCTTGTTTCAACCCTCTCTTAAAGCATCGCGTCTCATTGTTTAATAAGCAAAATTAATGTTTGCTTTGGGCCCGACGACAGGCTCCACCCACAGAGCACAGAGCACAGAGCTGATTATGCATGAGCCTTGCAGCGAATCGCATATTTTGTGGCAAATTAATTAAACGGCCAGGACAACAACGGACGGAGATTGGACATGGCCAGCGATTTGCCTGTCAGCCAATTGACTTTTACTTTGGCCAATGCGCCACCAGGTGGGCGACATGGACATGCAATCGGGCCGAGGAGGAGACGGAGACGGAGGCGGAGGCGAAGGCGGAGGCGTTGGCTTTCACGATGCGATGCGGCTCTTCTAGCTGGAGCAGCAGCAGCAGCTTCTGGCCTGGTCCGGGTGAAAGTCACACGACATCTCTTTCGCGCGGGGTGCAATGAACCCAGAACCGAGGCGAGGCGTCATAAATCTCGCAATGCTTTACAACATGTGCCTGGGCCCGAGCTGATGTCTCTGGCCTGGCCTGGCCTGGCGTGGATCGCAGGGGGCAATGCACTCCAACAATGCTGACTCCACTTCCCGTTGCCCCTCCCCCCCTAACCCGCCCACCCCTGCTGTCTACCTACGAGCTGCTGCAACAAAATTTGCGCAACATAAATTATGTTTTGTAAGAATGTTTTTTTGATGCTGCTCGCCGGGATGCAGCACCTCATCTCCTCTCTCTCTCTCTCTCTCGCTCTCTCGCTCGCTCTCTCTCTATCTCTCGCTCTCTCTCTCTCACTCTATCCTCTTGCTGCTCTCAAGCTGTTTGCCTGGCACTTGACACCTCTCAATGACAGCCGCTGAGCTGCCTCCTTGGCTCGTGTGTGCGCAAACTTTGGCTCCCAGTCCAGCTTCCACTCCTGCTCCCACTCCCTCTCCTGCTTCCCCTCCCACTCCTGCTCCTGCTCCAGCTGCCACTACTTTGCCTGCTCCTGGCCGCATCTTTTTGTGCTTTATGGAGACAAGCAGCAAAGCGTTTATTTTTTTTTTCCTTTAGTATATTTTTGTATGCTTAAGCTGGCAGATAACATTTTCGCAACTTTGCTGGCCCAACATTGCGCTAAAGTCGCACAAAAAGTGACCATGGAGGACAAGTTGAGTTATTTAATTTTCACTTTTGACGAGCTCACATATATTATCAGAAAGTTTGTATATTATTAAAAGCTATATAAAGTATGACAGGCGCCTGAGCAGGCTTAGAGAACGAATCCTCTTTTGACAATATTTAATTTAATCATATATTCTTTTTATAATTTATTTATTTGAATCATATATTTTATTTATTATTCATTCATATTAATCATATATTTTATTTATTATTTATTCATTTTAATCATATAATTTATTTTTTATTTATTTATTTTAATAATATATTTTATTTATTATTTATTCATTTTAATCATATATTTTATTTATTATTTTTTTTTTTTAATCAAATATTTCCCCACTCTCTCTCTACTTCTCTTATTTTCCTTTATCTAACTTTACCTTCAGGTAAATGTAGGGTATCCAAACTTCGCCTCTAACTGGCTGCAATTTGCCCTTGTTGCTTGACTTTCATCGCAGCGCATCGCCCCGGCATAATTCCTGTGGTCTTGCCTAACTTTTATTGGATAATTAAGCGCTGCCTCGCCAAGTGTGCGTCGTGGGCGTCGATGGGCGTCGATGGGCGTGGCTGTGTTCTACTCTCATGGCTTGTTTTTGCCCCTCAGCTCTCTCGTGTGTGTGTGTGTGTGCATAAATCTTCGAGTCGAAACTTTTCCTAGCAAGCGCATCATAAATATTTGAAAATTAAAAGCCCTCCACAAGGCGAATGGGTTGGCGGTGGGTGGTGGGCGGGGCTCGGAGTGGTCGGAGGGGTTTTACCTGCTTATCTGCGGCTCCATAAAAGTGCGGCTAAAGGCAAAAAGCAGTCATAATTAGATGCAGAGCTCTATTAAGATGAAAATGTGCAGGAACTTTTCTATCATACGACCCCGAAAGGAATCCAATTCCAAGTAAATTCAGCTGAAAATTATTGTCTTAATAGAGGGCACGCTTTGAGCTTCAAGCACGAAGTTTGGGGATCGAGCCCCTTGAATGATAACAAATGTTAATATGTTAATAAATTCTGATTTTTCTTTGCCTTATATTTTCATATTTCAACGTCTTATTCCCATACTTATATTTCCTATTACAAAAAAACAGAAAAACTAGGCCGGGCAACGTCGGGTAATTCCCTATTCTGATATGTTAATAAATTCAATTTTCCCTCTGAGTCATATCAAAGAAAACGTAGTCCGGGCAACGTCGGGTAATTTTAGCGTATCTCTGCTCTCTGCTCTCTCTCTCTCAGTCTCTCTCTCTCTCTCTCTCTCTCTCTCTCTCTCTCTCTCTCTCTCCCACTCCCTCCCTCTCTCTCTAACTCTCTCTCTAACTCTCTCTCTCTCCCTCTCTCTCTTCCTGCTGTTTCGTTTGCAGCGCTTTTTTCTCTAGTTTCTCGCACATAAACTGCCACTTACCCAACACTGTCAAGTAGTGTTAATAGCTTAAACGCCCACGCATACAATGCACTACAAATTGTTCTACATATTGCATGCTTGGCTTGAGTCCTTGCTGCTTGGTCTCCTTGGCTGGCTCGAGTCCTTGAGTGTGCTCGGGACGTCTTCTGCAAAGCAATAACTGACTAATTGCTTGAGTCCAAAGTGCGCACTTCTTGCGCCGACTGCATTTGCATATAGTATATTATATATACACATATATTTATTTATATATATTTATATGTGGCCCAGGCTTAGACCAATTAGAGGCGTTGCTTGTCTTGGAGAAGGCAAAACCCCTCCGCTTGGCACATATCATGCCTGGGATTGAGACTCAAGCACTTTGCCGCAATTTGAGAAGTGGTCGGTTGGCAGCTCAAATATGAGAACAAACAACAAAGAAAATGGAGAATGGAGAAAGGAGAAAGGAGAAATGAGAAAGGAGAAAGGAGCAACAGCAGCACTTTGCACTTCCGTTTCCGGCAATTATTCGGCTGCAGCTCTTCGAGCGAGCTCAGCAGGATTTTTGCCTCTTGCGCCTGCTGCAATTTTCTTCAATTTTATGTTTTCCAAGCACACGCGCACACACATGCGGGCTGTTAAAAAGGGGGCGATGGGCGGTGGGCGGTGGGCGTGTTTGCGAGTGACATGTCAAGCATGGAAAACTTTTTCAATTCGCTGCATTCAAAAATTTGCATAAACATGCCACCAGAGTTGAGTACGCCCCAGAAACAAATAAAATAAAATAAAATATACTTGAATGCAATTTTGTGTGTTTTTATACAAAATAGAAATGAGTGTGTGCTCATGTGTGTGTGTGTGTGTGCGCGTGTGTGTGTATCAGCGCATAAAAAGGTTTTAAATCATGTTTTTCTTTTCTGTTTTTTTTTTTCGATCATCTGTCAGTTTTCTGCTTTGATGCGTCCAATCAAATTCCAATGCTCGAAAGCCTTCGGCCTTTGTGGCCTCGAGACCTCGAATTGTGGCCAACAACATTTTGGGCACATTTTTCGACTTAATTTGCCTGGTTTCTCGCCCAGCTGCCTGCCGGCTGCCAGCTATTTACTTAGCTTGATTAATAACCGGCCTCTGTAATTTTAATTAAACGAAACGCGCTTAATTTATGCAATTCATATGGCATTTCATCATTTTGCACTTGTCATGCAACAGAAACAGAAACAGAAACTCTGAGACTCTGAGACTCTGCGACTTTGGCAGCCGACGACAAAGCGAAACAGAAGCCGTTCAAGTTGTCTCCTAATGCTTGTCGCCAGGGGCTTAGTCCAAGGGGGATTTGCAAAGTGGCAGCCGTTTGAGCATGAGTACGCTTTTGTATATATTTAAAAGGCGTCCCCCTGCTGGCTCTGTGACTGTCTATCTCTATGTCTCGCTACTCTTGTTTTTAACTATTTTATTATATTTTCTAACTTGTTTCTTTCCCTTTCCCTTCTCTCTTGCTCTGCCTCTGCACTCTTCATCCTTTATTCAGCCACGCATTTATTTCAATTTTTCATTCTTGGAAAAAACGTTTTTTTCTTATTGCTCTATTCATTTTTTCACTAATTTACTTATAAGCCGGCGTCGCCCGGCTTAAGTGAATAATGAATGTGATTTCATGCCAACTTAAGATGAATTCTGCAAATTTTCCTTTAAATATACTTGAAGTTACCTCCCTCAATTGGACAAATGTAGAAATTTATGCTGTAAACTATTTAAAAAAAAAACAAAAAACTAGTATATAGATATTTTGGAAAATATAATTTACACAAAAAATGTCGTATATACGGCAGCTCGATCCCGAAACTTAGCTTATGGCACGAATATTGAAGGCAAAACCCTGAAAACAACGTAAAAATAGATAGATAGAAAGATAGAAAGATATATAAATAGATTGATCGATTTTTGGCTTTTCTTTTTCTTTATTTCAGTTTTACTGTTGTTATGGAAACAAACTTAATTAAACTTATGTGAATATTTACAACACAACTTATTCAACTGTTAAGTCTCATATAAAAATTAAGAAGGGTAGGGTGAGATCTGAGAGATCGATTGGCTGAGACATCCGCAATCCTCTCCGCTGTCGGACTCCTCAAATTCTACGCCTCTTTATGATAGATAGATAGAACTACAGATAGATAGATAGCTAGATTTAAATCAATGATTACAATCGAGTCTTTCCCCCCTTAAATAGGCTCTGCCTACGCCTCTGGCACTCACAAATGGCAACTGACAGCTGACAACTCATTTAGAATTACAAGAGCTATAGGAACAAGAATAACAATGACGACAACTTTGATGAGCAGTCAGCTTAAGGAACATTCAGTCAGACACGCACACACACACGCACACACACACGCACACACACACGCACACACATGCTTGTAGGAAGATTTGCATAATAATCTCCATATGCAAATTAAGCGGGTCAGCTCGTCATTGAGCGAACTATGGTAAAGTTGAGTGTGAGTTGTTGTGCGTGTGTGAATGCCAGTTGAATGCACATTAAAGCCCAATTAGCCACGAAAGCTAGAAAGTAATAGCCCGGCCAACTTCTTATTCTCTCGCTTCTTTTCCATTGCAGGTCATGAACCACCTGGACAGACGCATCAGCGTCGAGATGTTGACCCTTGTGAACCACACCGAATGCCATTGCGTGGAGCGCGGCAAGGACTTTGCGGAGGGGCACACAGCCAGCGGCGGCGGTGTCGCAGGGCTGCAGACTGAGCTGCTGACCATGCCCAGTTTCGAGTGTCCAGCCCTGTTCGAGAAGATACTCGGCAAAGACGGCAAATGGCGCTGCGACTGCTCCTCGAGCAACGATCATTGCAGTCTATTCAAGAGCGGCAGCGAGCACTTCTCCCTCAACGATCGCAAGTGAGTTACCAACAAGACCCCAAACCAGACCACCCCCCTTCTAATACGTAATTACCTCCCCTTGCCCCCACCCATGAATCTTGTTAGGCGCATTCGACAGGGACTCTACAAGACGCCCACCTGCCAGTACGGGCTGTACATTCAGAAGCACGGACGCTGCCCCACACAGCACGAGCAGCTGCCCAGCTACAATGCGCTGGGCATGTCGTAAATGCTTTCAATGGAACCGAAACCGAAACCGAAAACGGAACCGAAAACGGAACCGGAACCGGAACATAAGTATTAGTATAAGATCTGTTATACCAGGCGTTAAGTGCAGGCTGGCGAAATCGACCTTTTGAACCAACCGAAACCGAAACCAAAGCGAGTCTTAAGTTCGACTTCGAAGCGCTGCCTGGCGAAAAGAAAGTGAATTTAGTTGCATATCCTATACAGAACGAGAACATATATACGCTGATCGAAATTAGCTCTTTTACGACACATTTTTTGCCCCTAATTCAAAGCAAAATCATCTTAAATAGCTGTATAAATATATTTAAAAAAAAACGAAAAATCGAAAAAAAAAAAGTCTAATTAGCATTGTTCATTGCAGTTTATTCAAAAGTAAAAGTGAATGTAACTTTGACATACAGAAGATTTAATACCCTTGCAGACAAGTACTTCGAAGGCAGCTAAAATTCATTTCGATTTGTTATCGATATAAATTCGATAAGTTATCGAATCGAATCTCTCCTTAGAATTCCTGTTTAGAACTATGATTCTTCAGATATATACACTTATATATTCCTGATCATCTCGAAAACGTCTCCATCCAAGCGTCAAAAATATAATATCGATTGCAAGGGTATCGAATCGAATAAATTTATGTATAGTTTATGCATATTTAAATATTAATGGGAAAAAAACTCAATAATTCTACAATTGTGTGCAAGCACAACTATTCCAAAATCTAAAATTGACTGCGTTTTAATTTAAATTTACTAATGTTATGTTATTTAATTATAAATCGAAACAAAACAAAACACACGATAAACTTAATATTATTAGCAATTTTAAACATACTACATATACATACATACATATTATTATAAAGATAATAAACAATATCACTCAAGTTAAATACGGCGACGACAACAAGAATAAGAGGAAGAAACTCAAAACTGCTCACAATACAGAGAGAAATGTTAAGCATTTGGTATTAAATAAATACTAGCTCGTTTAAAATAATTATTTAATTTCTAGTCAACGTTTTTATTTTGTTTTTTGTACATGATTTGTCTCGATCGAGGCCAGCAAAAACGGGCATTTAACTAATATACATATATACCATATCCAATCGAATTAAATACATAGATTCTACGGCCCTAAATATCAATCTCTCGCTCTCTCTCTCTCTCTCTCTCTCTCTCTCTCTAACGAGGAATATATTCAGAGTTTATAATTAATTCAAAAGCCATTCAAAAACCCACCAACAACAACAACAACAAAGACAAAGACAACAAATTTGAATTATCATTTTTGCATTTGATTTTATTTTTGTATTTTATTTCAATCTTTAAATAAATACGAGTTAAATTCAGTTTAATTCTTCTCAAAATTGTGTTGTGAGAAATTGTAACATTTGGCAATAAATTGCATAAACTGTTGATGTTTTGCATGAAAAAAAAAAACAAAGGAGAATAATTAAAATAAATTAATATAAGTATTTTTAATTGTATATGATTTCTGTTCATTAGGGCAACAAATCCCATACTTTAATCTATTTAATTCGCATTTGAATTGCCAGCGCACACTCAGATAATCCTAAATGCATTTCGCTTAAACAAATGAGTTCACAATTTTATGAGTCCATTCAAAAATCAATTAATTTGAAAGTATTCACAATTTATGGGCAAAACAATGAGCCGTTAATGTTTCTCGTGCTTAAAATGTTGCAACATTTATTTGCCATTATTTATGAGCAATTTATTTATATTTATTATATTCCACACAAAAGCACACGCACACACACACACACACACACGCACACACACACACACTCACTAGCAATTAAATGCGCAATTCGCCACATAAATATTTAAACGTTTATGTATTGTTTTTAAATGTTATCATAGAATTATATGTACGACAACAAAAGAGTAAGCAAAACAAAAACCAAACATTTCAACAGATTTTATTTCTAACTTTAGCATAAATTTTAATGTATAAAAACAAACACAGAAGATGATTGAGCAACAACAAAAACAAAACACATTTAAGAACATCAAGCAAACCATACTTATAAATAATTGAACAAATTATTATTACTATGCGAAAATCCAAATAAATATGATAAAAATAAAAAAAAAAACATATATATCAATAATAAATACTATAACTTTATTGTTTAGCAAGTACTCAAATAACATAGGAAAGCAAATGGCGCAGGTGGACCTGCTGAACATTCGATCTAACAGCTGTAACTACAGCTGTTGTTTAACAGCCGCCTTACAGCACTCATTTTACATAAACTGCTACTTAACAGTACTCATTATAAGTGAGTTACATTTTTAGTTCGAAAAACTCGTCGACCTTCTGTGCATTTCTGTTCGCCTGGTATTTATGGTAAATTTTAGTTAAAATTTGGGACCCAGCCGGAGGCGAGGGCGCCCCTTTTGGGTATGCAATGAAATTTTTCGGCAATTAAAAATATTTTTTGTCGACCTTCTGGTCATTTCTGTTCGCCTGGTATTTTTGGTAAATTTTAGTTGACATTTGGGACCCAGCCGGCGGCGAGGGCGCCCCTTTTGGGTATGCAATGAAATTTTTCGGCAGGTACAAATATTTTTTTGTCGACCTTCTGGTCATTTCTGTTCGCCTGGTATTTTGGCTGATTTTAAGAAAAATCTCGGCAGCCAGCGGCTGCCAATAGACGCCCCTGGCGGGTATGCAATGGATTTTTAATATTTAAATAAAAAAACAGGAATTTCGTTGTTTATTTTAAATAATTTATTAATTTATGTTTGAATTTATAAATTTGTTGTTTTTTATGTTTATTTACATAATTATTTCTCTTAAATTAATAAAAACCAGTACAAATTATAATTGTTGCTTAAAATAGCTATATCTGGCTTAATTAAAGTCCGATCCTGGAAAAATCTGCTTTGTCAGTCGTGGAGGTCCTTAGAGCTTATTGTAGTCCTTAATTTGTCAGTCTGAAAAGAGAAAAACACATTTAAATTAGCCAAGACAAAAAATATGTGAAGACGTTTTTTTCAAGGAAAAAAGGTCATAACTCGGACATGTCCTTGCAGATTTTCAAAGGACATGGTGCGTTAGGATCGTATAAACCTCCCGCATCGAACTGCATCAAAAAAATATGGGGTCATCTAAGAACCCCAGGACTTGTATTTTTACTTGTACAATTTCAGTCGCGGAGCGCACGGAAATGGCCCAAAATCACAAATCCTGGAATATTTCCGAAACTACAAGGACGATTCGAATGATATTTAGCCAGCTTGTAGTCCCGGTCAATAAAATTTTTTTGACATATGACTCGCAAGGATATGCAAGGATACAGCCAAGTTATGGCCTATTTTCTCTTGCTAAAATTGCCCATAAAACTTCGCCGTTTGAAGGACTTTCGTCCTTTTTGTTATATTTTCTTCAATCGGATGGTGAGCACTATCTACTGTCCAAAGGACATCCCGTTAGTCCTTCAAATGGCCAATTTAGACCCGATTTTTTCGATTTTTGCCACTTTTGCGACTTACCCCCTATGAAAAATTTTGGTGAAATTTTTTGTCGAATCGTGGAAAACTTTGAATGCCAATCGATAGTCCTGGTCCCTACGAGTTCAAAAATGTATATCCTTCCGATATCCTTAAGGATTTGGCCGAGTTATGGCCAATTAAAAAATGTCCTTTTTAGTAAAATACGCATATTTCGGAAAGTAGAAGGACGATTTTAATGTCCTTTGGACAGTTTGAGGTCCTTCTTCATACGATTCGTTTGACACAGGATTTGCCAGGATCTGCAGGGATAAGGCCGAGTTATGGCTATGTTAATTTAAGAAAGAATTGTATTCATATTTAGGCTGTCTAAAGGACTTTCGCCCTTTTCATTATATATACTAAATTAGGAACATAAGGACTTACGGTTGGCAAATGGACATCATGATCGGCAAGGATACGGCCGATCTACAGCCTTTTATCTTTACATACAAAAATCTCTTTTCCTCAGCTCCTTAAAGGATTTTCGTCCTTTTTATTAAAAATTCCAAGTTGGCGGGACAAGGACTACATGCTGTTCAAAGGACATCAAAATTGTCATTAAAGTGGTCAATTTAATGTCCTTTAAAATGACAATAGCCATATCTCGGAAACCATAAGGCCGACTTTTATGTCCTTCGAGCTGATTATAGTCCCTGTCATCAGGGAAAATATTATCAAAAAAGTGTTAATTTGCGAAACGACCCCCATTTTGAGAAAAACGGAGATGTAACACGTTGCCATTTAGCCGATTTGGTTCCAAATTTCGATTGTTGACTTTACAAACGAATCGGTTTTTGGTCAACCACTTTTTTTAACCCATCGATTTTTAAAATGTTTGAATGCAGATTGATAGTAGGGATCCCTACGAATTCAAAAAGGCATAACATTTCAAAATCGGACAGCATTTACCCGAGATATTCAATAAAAATCATCAAAAAAGTTTCGATTTTCGAACCGACCCCGAATTTGAGAAAAAACGTGATGTAACCCCTTGCCATTTTGATGATTTTGGTCAAAAATTAGATTTATATTTTTTTGATGCCAATCGATAGTACTGATCCTTACGAGTCGGAAATGGTATAAAATTCCCAAATCGAACACTATTTGGCCGAGATATTCAAAAAAATCATCAAAAAAGGTTGACTTTACAAACGAATCGGTTTTTGGTCAACCACTTTTTTTTAACCCATCGATTTTTAAAATGTTTGAATGCAGATTGATAGTAGGGATCCCTACGAATTCAAAAAGGCATAACATTTCAAAATCGGACAGCATTTACCCGAGATATTCAATAAAAATCATCAAAAAAGTTTCGATTTTCGAACCGACCCCGAATTTGAGAAAAAACGTGATGTAACCCCTTGCCATTTTGATGATTTTGGTCAAAAATTAGATTTATATTTTTTTGATGCCAATCGATAGTACTGATCCTTACGAGTCGGAAATGGTATAAAATTCCCAAATCGAACACTATTTGGCCGAGATATTCAAAATAAATCATCAAAAAAGGTTGACTTTACAAACGAATCGGTTTTTGGTCAACCACTTTTTTTAACCCATCGATTTTTAAAATGTTTGAATGCAGATTGATAGTAGGGATCCCTACGAATTCAAAAAGGCATAACATTTCAAAATCGGACAGCATTTACCCGAGATATTCAATAAAAATCATCAAAAAAGTTTCGATTTTCGAACCGACCCCGAATTTGAGAAAAAACGTGATGTAACCCCTTGCCATTTTGATGATTTTGGTCAAAAATTAGATTTTTATTTTTTTGATGCCAATCGATAGTACTGATCC